TGGTACTGGCCTCTGAGGGATTGGTCTCTATGGGACTGGCCTCTGAGGGATTGGTCTCTATGGGACTGGCTTCTGTGGGACTGGCCTCTATGGGACTGGCCTCTATGGGATTTGTCTCTATGGGACTGGCCTCTATGGGACTGGCCTGTGGCCATATCTGTGAGGCAGTTTCTTGATTGTTGAGGGATGTGGGAGGGCCCAGGCCACTCTGGGTGGTGCACCCCTGGGCAGGTGGTCTGGGTTGTATAAGAAGCAGGATGAGCACGGGCCAGAGGGGTGATCCTGTAAGCAGTATTCCTTCCTGGTTTATGTTTCAGTTCTGGCTGCTACGATCCTGATCTGAGCTTCCCTTGGTGAAAGACTATGAGCTGTAAGCAAAATAAATCCTTTTCTCCCTAAGTTGCTGTTGCTTAGTACTTTATCACAGCAATAGAGACACTAATTAGCACAATAAATAGACAGTCTAAAGCATAAAAAAGGCAAAAAGGATAGAAAACTCAGAAAATAATAAAAGACAGGGGATACACTATAATGGTGTAACATATGGTTAGAGCCCCACATGAGAAATTGGGGGAAACGGAACAAAAACTTTAAGAAGATATTGTCTAAAATTTTTTAGAAACAGAAGAGAGGTATTAAGTCCTAGATTCAAAGAGTTCTATAAACCTTAAAAGGAATAATTTTGGGGGGCTGGGAATGTGGCTCAGTTGGTATAGTACTTGCCTAACATGTACCAACCCTGGATTAGGTCCCCAGCACTGCATAAGATCAGGTACATGCCTGTGATCCTGGCCCTCAGGAAGTGACTGCAGGAGGATCAGGAGTTCAAGGTCACCCTTGGCTACACAGTGAGTTCAAGGCCAGCCTGGAATACACAAAACCCTGTCACCTCCACTAAAAAATTAAAACTTTCAAATTTTATATTTCTATAAGACAAAAAAAATTCCTCATTAACAACCCCACCCCAATCACAGTGGATTCTAGAAGTTTTTAAATTGAATAACAATAATGAAATTGGGTGTATTCAGGGTGGTCTAGCCAGACTTAAACTGAATAATATTAAAAGTACTATTTAATTAAACTTATGGAATGAAAATAAAAGCTGTATTTAAAAGGAATGGTGTAGCCTTAAAATGAACATATTAGAAAAGAAAGTTGAAAAGTCAAGGATTTTTAGAGGCATTTATATTTTAAAATTAGCAAAAAGAGGAGCAAAGTAATTCCCTGACATAAAGCAGGAAAAAACACATACAGATGAAATTAGAAATCAACAAAATAAACAATAATTCAGTTAAGTAGCTATTAGTGAAATCGTTCAAGAAAAAATGAGAGAATATGACAGACAATTGATGCCTGAGACATCTGGAGACCTAGCAAAACCAAGACAGCAACGCTGGGACATCACGTTGCCAATGAATTTAGACTGAGATGATAATGTACAACATACAGAACCCATACTTGAAAAAGAAAAAAGTGAGTCAATTCAAAATACATTTTTGTTTGTTTGTTGTTTGAGACAGAGTCTCCCTGCAGTCCCAGCTGGCCTGGAACTCGCAATGTAGATCAGGCTGGCCATGATCCTACAGAGATCTGCCTGCCTCTGCCTCCCCAGTGCTAGGATTAAAAGTGTATGTCACCATGCCTGGCTCCAAAATTTTTTTAAAAATTTTATTTAATAATAAATAAAATTTTTTTTATTTATTTTTATTTTATGTGTATGCATGTATTGCCTGCATGTGGTCAGAAGAAGGCATCAGATCCCCTGGAACTGGAGTTACAGATGGTTGTTAGTCACCATGTGGATGCTGGGAGTCAAACCCAGGTCTTCTGCAAGAACAGTTAGTGTTCTTAACCACTGAGCCATTTCTCTAGTCCCCACTTTTTTTTTTTTTTTAAAGAAAAGAAAGTAGATGGCCAGCTGGGTGTGGTGGCACATGCCTTTAATCCCAGCACTCAGGAGACAGAGGCAGGTGGATCTCTGTGGGCCAGCCTGGTCTACATAGCGAGTTCCAGGTCAGCTGTGGGGCTACAGGAAGACCCTGTCTCAAAGTCTCAAAAAGACAAAAAAAAAAAAAAAAAAAAGTAGATGGCCTAATCAGTGAAGTCTAACAACAAAAGATCTAAACCATAAATCTATGTAAACTCTTCCAGTAACAGAAAAAGAGAAAAAGACAGTATTTCCTGAGTTCTTCTTAAAGCCAGCAAAATCTTGACACTGGGACTGAGGATGTGGCTTAGTTGGTAGAGCACTTGCCTACAAAGTCCTGGGTTGATTTCCAGCCCTGAATAAGCTAGATGTGGTGGCCCGCACCTATAGTTCCAGCGCTTGGGAAGAAGAGGCAGGAGGATGAGAAGTTCAAAGTCATTCTTGGCTATTCAGCAAGGTTTTGGACAGTGTGGGCTACATGAGACCCTGTTTCAACAAAACCAACACCCCCCCACACCCACCCCTTGATACTAAAATTGACATGGACAGGACAACAAAGGAAAATTACAGTCCAATCTCATTCATGAGCTTGACTGAATCTAGAGATAAGTAAAACCGTAACATCAGACAAACTGGATTTAGTGCAGGAATAAAAGTTGAGGAAATAAACTTTTAACTTTAAATTGATTTAAATTTAAAATCAAATAGCTGTATGTGGGCTGGAGAGATGGCTCAGTGGCTAAGAGTACTGGCTGCTCTTGCAGAGGACCTGGGTTTGGTTCCTAGCATCCACATGGTGACTAACAACTGCCCTTAACTCCAGTGCCAGGGGATCCAACGCCCTCTTCTGTCCTCCACGGGCACTGCATGACATAATACTCAAACACATAAAATAAGAATAAAGTCTGCATTCTTTTAGCAACTTCTACAATGGTTGTTGCTTGTTGCCTAACAGGCACTGAGGCTACTGGCTGATCACTGAGTCTATAGGCCTGTGTCATGTACTACTAGGGTAGAGAAGGAGGAAGACTTGGCCCTCTCACTTGGAGGGCTCTGTACCCATAGTCTCTTCTGTAATCCATTGGGTTTGGAATACACTTTGCTAATGGTGGCTCTAACTACAGTAGGCCTTCATCTACAGAAGGTACGGTTCTTCATTCCACACTTAACTATTGATGAAAAGCCAGCCTGGTGGCACAGGTTTGTAAGCTCAGATACCAATGAACCTGAGGTGGGGGAACTGCATGTTTAGGCCTACTTGGGTTACTGAGTGAATTAAAGCCTGGCCTAGGCAATTTAGTGAGATCCTGTCTCAAGAATGGCTAGGAATGGTAGCAGAGCACTTGCCTAGCATATATGTGGCCCTGTAAATTCAATTTCCAATTAAAAAAAATGTTAAAAAGGTAATGTCATGTTGGCTCGGCCAGACTTGACCTGCTCTACTGTCTTTGCTCTACTTTTGACCCCACAGCAGGCTCCCAGTTAAGCTCTCAGTAGCTCTAGATGTGCAGGCCATTTCTCATCCCAGAGTTACTGTGGCATATGGGACTCTCCCCACCCCCAAGAGATCCTCCTTGTACATAGCTCTCTTCTTTACAAATTCTCAAGAGTGGGCAAGAGACTTAATCAGGTATGCATAACAAAGGACATTCATAACTGATCATGGTGGCTCAGGCCTTTAATCCCAGCACTTGGGAAGCGGAGGCAGGCAGATCTCTGTGAGCTCAAGGCCAGCCTGATCTACATAGTGAGTTCCAGGCCAGATGGAGCTACAGGGAGACTGTTGTCTCAAAAAGACCAAAAAAACCACATACACACACACACACACACACACACACACAAAAAAAAAAAAAAAAAAAAAAACCAAAAGAAAGGGGACATTCACCAGCCACCAGCATGTCTATGAAAAAAAGCCACTAACGTACCACACAACCACATGCTGCTGTGAGGAACCACACAACCATGTGCTCCTGGCAGGATCGTAAATGAGGCAACTTTGGACAAGTTTTTTTTTTTTTTTTTTTTTTTGTTTTAAGACAGGGTCTCACTATACAGCCCTGGCTGGCTTGGAACTTGCTATGTGGACCAGGCTCAAACTCACACAGAACTGTCTGCCTCTGCCTCCAGTGTTGGGATTCCAGGTGTGTACCACCACACCCACCCCCCAGCAAGCTTCATGTTCTTTATCAAAGCAGCATAAGCTAAAACTCAGCAATTTCATTCCTAGACATGTATCCAACAGAAATGTGGAGAAGGCCATTAGAGAGCCATGCATGAAAATGTTCACACAGCTCTGCTGTGACACTGAAAAATGGGAAATAATCCATTTATCAAAAGCAGACAGCCAGACTGATCATCCATATAACAGCAGTGTATTGGATTTCTTCTGTCTCTCTACCCCTTCTGCTATGCTATGTGAAAGCAAAGATAAAAAATCAATGGTACCAAGCACAAAGGAATGGTTACATTTTAATTATTTTGACATTTATTTATTAACTTTGTGTATATGTGTTCATGCACTAATGAATGTGTGTGTGTGTGTGTATGTGTGCATGTGTGTGCACACCATGGTGTGTATATGGCAGTCAGAAAACAACTTTCAGGAGTTACTTCTCTCTTTCTACCATGGGGTCTTGGGAATTGAACTCAGGTTGTCAAGCTTGGCAGTAAGTGCCTTTACTCACTAAGCCAATTTGCCAGGCCATGGTTATATTTTAAAGAAATGAGGTACCCTTATTCTGAGACAAGAGAGAAGAGAATTAGTTGTAGCAATAGCAATACATTAAATGATAGTTCATAATTTATCATGTACAAAATAAGGATAAAAGATGAAGTTAGCAAAACCAAGATTTGTTCCTCTTCTGTTTATCAGTATCATTAATAGCAGCCAAAGAAATTTGAAATTCATGGCTGATATCAAAATTAAGTTTGTAACTGTCCCAAAGGTCTGTCTTTGCAACAATGTTTTAGGACAATGTTTCATCCAGTTCTTGAATCTAAAACCAAGACTATATCACCACTATTGACAAATTAAATGAACTAAATTACCTGCAACATGTAGAGTCATACTTACTTGACTGACATGCACTGGTGTTAAAATTAAGTCCAGAACACCAGACCAGCCAGCAAACACACCAAGCGGTATTGCATACGCTAAAGCAATCATCAAAAACCTCAAATTGCTGTAAGAGAAAATATTACAAATTAAAAATCCAGAATTTAAACTCCTACTCATGAAAAACTTAAATCAGTTAGAAACTGAATACAAAAATCAAAATAGAAAATGTGTCAGTTTATTAATAAGCTCAAGCTCCTTTCAACGATACTATCTTTTATATTATCTTACACTGTCTTTTTTACTTACATTACTTAAAATGTGTTTGTCCTACTCTATGTCTATCATATTTCAAATGCTGTGAAGGGAGTAAAATATGTTTGTTTTTAAAAACCCGCTTATCTGAAAGGATAAATTATTTTCTTTCCTTGTGACCAAGGTAGAGGAAAAAGCAAAATTAAAAAGAAATGTATAATTTGCTTGTTCAAAAAAATAAAATAAAAAATTTTCATTTATTACTAAAGTTTGTATTGATTAAATATTTCAATGGGCAATATAATTCAATGACTCAAAGCTATAAAAATATAGAGGAAAAGTCTCCCTCCACTATTTTCCTCTTCCCATATTTACCTATCAAGCTTTTGAAAACTGTTCCAAAATATACTTTAAATATACAAGTCACTGCTATACATATAGACATATTTATACATATATCTATATGTACACACACACACACACACACACACACAAAACATGTGGCTTTTCCAACAATGATTAGGCCAGGTATGGTACTACATGCCTGTAATGATTCCAGCTCTTTAGACACTGAGGCAGGAGGATGGAGTGCTAGGTCAGCTTGGGCTACAAAGCAAGGACCCTGTCTTAAAAAAACAAAGCAAAATAACGTTTGACAACATTTTTTTTTTTGGTTTTTGAGACAGGGTCTACGCTGTAGCTCCAGCTGACCTGGAACTCACTATGTAGACCAGTCTGCCTCTAACTCACAGAGATTCTCTTGCCTCTGCCTCCCAAGTTCTGGGATTAAAGGCATGCACCACCACGCCAGACAAATAATGTTTGACAACCTTATAACATATATTTTCTCCAAACTTTTAACATAAATGAGAGCATACTGTAATCATTTGTTGAACCCTGATTGTTTTTTCTTTTAGCTGAAAATTAAACTCAGGACCGTGCATATGCTAGGCAACTGCTCTTCCACTGAACCTTACCCTAGCTCCTGAACCTTGTTTTTTTTTCAATCTAACAGGTCTTAGAGTGCTTTTCAAAATTAATACATAAAAAGCTCTTTCCCTTTTTCTTATAGCTGTAGGTATTCTACTATGCTGATGTATCAAATTTATTTAACCATACATGTAAATTTTATTCTTTTGCTCTTATAAAATTTCACATTTGTACCAGTATGCCTTAGGATGGGCTCTACATGAGCAAATGCCATGTCAAAGAGTATGCTCCTGGAGCTGGGAAGATGGTTCAGTTGGTAAAGCACTTACCATGCAAGAGCCAGGGCTGTAGCACAGTGACTTGACCAGCATGGATAAGTCCTGGCTAACAATTTATAGAGCACAAAGGACAGGGGTACAAACTACAGTGAGATAGTCAACACAATCCAGACCTGATGATAAAAGAGTTGGCTCTTTAGATTATAAGGCATTTAAGTCAAATCCAACATGTGACCCCAATCTGGGTCCTGCTAAAAAGAATTCATGAGCTAATTATGTTAAAAGAAGTTCTTAGTCAGGGGGATGAATTTGAGGTTAGCTTAGATGACATAGAAAGACTCTGTCTCAAAAAAAGTCTCTCTTTATATTTTTAAAATATTTTATTATTTTTATTTTACGTGTATGAGTGTACTGCCTGCATGTGTGTAAGTGCACCCATGTCATGCAATGCCCACAGAAGTCAGAAGAGGGTGTGATATCCCCTGGAATTGGAGTTATGGGTGGTTGTTAGCCACCATGTGGGTGCTGAGAATCAAACCCTGGTCCTCTGTAAGAGCAGCCAGTGCTCTTAACCACTGAGCCATCTCTCCAGCCCCATTTCTATATTTTTTAACATATATTAATTGTTGAACTATTTCTGGATGACATTACCTGTCCTCTGAGCTCTGCCTCATAATAAAAGAGAGGAAGTGGGTAGGGCAGGGGTAAAAGAACTGGCTTCATATCAATAACTTATCAATAACCACTGACACTGGGTTATTGGATGGGGGGGGTTATACTAGTCTAATTTGTACATATTATAATGTTCTAAAACAGAACGCTTACAATGTACCTGTTAGTACAATGCTTGCCCATTGGGCTCCATCCCCAGCCTCATATAAACCAGGTACTGTGGCAAATGCCTATAATCCCAGTACATAGGAAGTGCGGCAGAAGGATCAGAAAGAAGTTCAAGTTCAATTCTGACTACACTGAGCATATTGAGTTTGAGGTCAGCCTGAACAACATGAGACCCTGTCTCAAAAAAAAAAAAAAAGGAATCAAAGGCCAAACTGAAGTGATGCATACAAACTGAACATATATTTATGTAAAACAATATACTTCAAAAGCAACAAGATAAAGAACAAAAAAGGCTCTGAAGGAACATATTCAACTCTTCAAGTCTGAAATGCAAACACATCCACCTTCAAAGTCTGACAACAATACATAACATAATGGGGGAGATGTTTACATTAGGTTACATGGGTTAAAGCATATTAAGAGAAGGGAATGAGGGAATTGCCTGGACTATAAATAATTGTGGTGAAACCTTGGAGCTTATTGATGGGTTTGTTTTGTTCAGATAAAGGGATTAAAATTTAGATAGACAGCTTTTTATTTTAATTTTAAAAAAGCTTTTACTCCAGTTCTAGGAGATCAGATGCTGTCTTTCTGATCCCCATGAGCACTGCATGCATGCATGGATGCTGTTACATACATGTAGGGAAAACATACACATAATTTTTTTTAAGTTTTTAAAAATCTGACTAGGGAGTAAGGATTTCAGAAGTTCTTTGCAAAATCTGAGAAAATTGTGCTTTAGCCAGGGGAACCTGGCAGAGCAGCCCATAGAAGCTCCCTGGAGAACCCAGAAGTAGAGCAGGCCCATGCAAAGCAAACACAGCAATATGGGAAGAAGCAAGGTGTGTTAGACCTTGATTAGAAAGCCTTTTACAGTGAAGACACATACTTCATGGTTCAAACACAGCATCATCTTGATTCTGGGCTAATTAGAAGTAAGCACAGGGTGTGTCATGGTCAGAGTGGTAAGTTGCTTTGCTTTCCACCTTAGAATAGTCTTGTATATAACTCTTAGCTTAATGTCCTTTGATGTGCCCCATTCCTACAGAAGAGCCCAGATTACCAGTGTGGCATGATGCCTAGCTTTATCTACTGATATTCAGATTCTGCTGCTGGGTTTGGACTGAGAAAGATATAACTCAACAGCATTTTAAACACTATCATCTTGCAAACATGTGCCACTGACCCCAATTTAATTTAGCTACTAGTTTCTTAGTCTACTTACAGAAGGCAATGTATGAGGTGCTGTAGTGAAGCAGGTTTTCAAAATTTTCTTACCACACTCTAGAGTAAGAAATTTCATATCTAAATAGATACACACTCAAACAAGCATCTCACAAAAACCCACATATCCTTATTGCATGTGAAAACAGTAGTCCTACCCTACAGCATTCCATCTCATTTGTTTAAAAAGTTGTAGTCAACCCATTAAACAAGCTGGACTGTGAACCATGTGAGATGTGGTTCGTACAACCAAGGAACTGAATTTTTAACTTCCTGCTTTGAACTTATTTAAATATTTATTTATTTATTATTTACTTATTTGCAGTCTTAGGGATCAAACCCAGAGCTTCACACATGCTAGGCAAGGACTCTGTGAGCAGCTGACTTATACCCCCACCCCCCTAAACTTTAGTTTTTGACAGAACTACATCTCTTTTAACAGCTGCAATGAGGAGGCTGCTATTGGCACATGCTCACTGAGGTGTGATTTTGGTGTTATAGCTGGCCACTGATCTTCCTGAGGTCAATGAACTGATTCAATTTTAATTTTCTGTACATACTGATCTAATACTATAATTTGTTCACTTGCATATTTCATGTGGAAGAAACATGAGTCTGGAATGGAAGCTGCAAAGTCATAACGAATGCTTCTGCTGCAGCAGCACAAACTAAACATCTGCTATACAAATGTCTAGGTCACCGAAGTGGACAGGATTAAGAAGTATTTTCAGCAAGTTCAGTGAATTTTATGACACTTGTTTTCAATTTTCAAAAAAGAACCAAAGAATGTGTTGCTAGAAATCAGAATTAAATTTCCAAGGAAATTCCCCCAATAATTAATAGATCTGACTTGGGTCAGCTTTAAAAGGGTTTCATTTCTTACACAAAAGGAAAGTCATTTTTACATGGAGAGATAGTAAGACTTTCATTTTAGCTATGGAAATTTTGTTTAAAATTCTGAGGGCAAAACTAAAGACTGTATCCTATAGAAGTATCAGATCAACTATGCCCCAAACAAAATCTTTCCTTAGCATCCAGGGCCTGTTAAGGTTTGAAAATGCAATTACTTAGTTTTAATTTTCACAAAAAAGTGAAACATGGAAAATATTGCTCAATAAGCACTTTTCAACTGGAAACAACAAAATCTAAGTATCAACTACTTCTGATGAAAATCTATTGTCTAAATTGAGTTGTCCTCTAAAGGTAAATACAAAGCAGACACCAAAGATTTGTAAGAATGCAAATACCCCATCAATAATTTTAATATTGACTCCATGTTAAGACAATGTTTTAGATATATTAGGTTGAATAAAATATGCTACTTAAATTTATTTTACTCTTTTCTTAATGAGGCTACTAAAAATTTTAAGGTGATACATATGGCTTGAGTTACATTCTTACTAGACGGTACTCATATAGAGGAGACAGTGACATAGTTCTTTATTGCAAGGACTTTACGGGGGCGGGGGAGGAGGTAGAAAGACAAGACAAGAAAGACCCAACTAGAGAGTTGATAAAAATTTGATAGCTAACTAGGAAAGCAAATTTAAAAGGCAATTTCAAGTGACCAAACTGCAAGTCACAATCTAGAGTGGCACTCTACACCTCAGACAATCAAATTCAGCTCTAGAGCATTTGAACTTTTAAGTCAGAATTTAACTACATTTAAATTAAACCAATAAAATAAAATAATACATCAAGTTTCCCAGCATATGACCCTAATGGTGGTACACTGAGACGCTTTTAGATATGTAAATATTACCTTATTCATCAATTTATTTAATGTGCACTAACACAAAATAAATAATTTGCATATTAGGAAAACTATAATAGAAACAAAAATTCTATAATTTCAGGGGCTGGAGAGATGGCTCAGCAGTTAAGAGCACCGGCTGTTCTTGAAGAAGACCCAGGTTCAAATCCAAGCACCCACATAGCAGCTAGCAATCATCAGTAACTCCAGTTCCAGGGAATTCGATGCCCTCTTCTGTCCTCCACAGGCATTGCATGACATGGGTGCGCTTATATACATGCAGGCAATAGAATCAAACACATAAAATAAAAATAAATAAATCAAAAAATTTTTTTAATTCTATAATTTCATTTATTGTGTGATATGTTTCTATAGAGGAGAAATTACTTAAGGAAAATAAAAGACTTGATTTTTAAAATATTAAGTAATAACAGTCTAAGTGGTATGTGGATAAGGCGAAATTTACTAAGGTTTTAGTTTGGCGTGATTTTTCAAGATACATTTCTGATACAAAATTAAAATACTTAGTATTTTAGCATTAGCATAAATGAATTATAATCTGATTAATGCTAAAAATTACTATTTCAAATTATTTTTTAAAAAATGAAGAATTAGGAGGCTGGAGAGATGGCTAACTGGTTGCTCTTGCAGAAGACCTGGGTTTGAATCCTAGCACCCACATGGTGGCTAATGATCATCTTATGTAACTCCAGTTCCAGGGGCTCCAACACCCTCTTCTGACCTCCGTAGGCACTGCATGACACGAGTGCACTTTCACATGTAGGCAATACACCCATATACAAATAATAAAAATAATAAAGAAAATGGTTTTAAAAAATGAAGAATTAGGTGCTGGTGAGAGAGATGGCTGATAAGAGTACTCACTGTGCAAGCATAAGGCCCCAAGTTTAGATTCCAGCACCCACGTAAAAAGCCCGGCATGGCTACGCTTGTGTTTGTGCCCATAACCCCAGCACTACAGTGGGCAGAGACAGAATTGCTGGAGCTTGCTGGCCACCAGCCCAGCTCCAGGTTCAGTGAGAGACTGTTTTGAAGGAAGATGGTAGAATATGATGGAGCAGGATTCTAGAAGTCCTCCTCTGGACTCTACACATGTAAGCACAGGAACGCACACCTGCAAAGATGTGCACGCGCACACACACACACACACACACACACACACACACACACACATACATACACACCCAAATGCATTGAGTCTAGTTACAAGCACCCAATGATCCTAAGTCTATTTACCTTAGTAGCCTACAAAAGCTGCGCCGGTAACTCAGCCGCTGGCTTGCTGCAGCCACACTGGGAGGAAGAGGAGGCCGGGGTGGGAAATAAGCCAGTGTGGCACAGAATATTAGGCAGACAACTCCAAATTCTGAAAAAAAAAAAGGTAAATTGTTAACCAATGGTACAAAAAGTTCATATTTATTTCACAAATATTTATTGTGCATCAACCAGATCTATAAAGACAGGCAAAATATAATAGCCAACACAGCTCAGTCCAGTTTTCTGAGATGGTGGGCATGTACAGACAAATTCCAGTAGGCCACCAGCAGCAGCACACAACAAACAAACATGGTGGTGCAGTATATACTCCTGAGACAAGAAGACTGAGGGAGTGAACAACCATCATTCAATGGGGAAAGCGCAGCCAAACCCAACAGTACCATTCAGTAAAAGATTCTGAAGCATGTCTAGGGTGAATGTATAGGAAACAAGGTTCTCAGAAAGAAAAGACTATGAGAGGAAACTGGTAAGGAGAGAAGGCTCGCTTGATTGAATGGGATTCCTGACATATATAAAACAGTTTCAGTTTACAGGCCCTAAAGGAAAGTTAAATAAGACAAAGAAGCATCCAAAAAGAAGAAACCAAGAAACACAAAACTGAAACAGAAGACGAGCTAGCATATTAATCAACGAGAAGTAAAACGAACACCCAAGCCATCTAAGTTTGGTTCTATATAGAAGGAGAGGTCTCTAAGGGTCTCCATCCTCCCTTCCACAGTTATGATGGTCCCAGCTTTTGTTACCTAGGCCCAGTGCAGCATAACAGCATAGCACTTACAGGAAATGTGGAGCACAGACCTGCCTATGATGTCTGGCTTCAGTTGTCAACTTGACACATCTGGGAAGAGGGACTCTCAACTGAGGAATTCCTCCATCAGACTGGCCTGTTGGCATGTCTGTAGGGTATTTTCTTGGAAGGGCCCAGTTTACTGTGGGTGGTGCCATCCCTGGGCAGGTGGGCCTGAGCTATATAAGAAAGGGAGCTGAGCAAGGCAAAGAAGAAAGCCAGTAAGCAGCATTCCTCCATGGTCTCTGCTTCAGTGCCTGCCTGGTTTCCCTTGATAATGAACTATATAACCTGTAAGTCAAATGAACCATTTCCTCACCCAAGCTGCATCATGGTTATCACAGCAACCAAGAAGCAAACTAGGACAACATTCCTATAATCTGGGTGGACCCTTTACTTTCTCTAGAGTGATAAAGAGATTAGACTTAGGAACTTCCAGAGGTCTTTTCTGCTGAGTAATTCTAATTCTAGGGCTTTTTTTTTTTTTTTCCATCTTTCTTAGTATGATCTCATGTTTTTCCTTTATTCTATTGGTATGGTATATTACATTATTTGTGTTTTGAAAGCTAAGCCATCTTGCATTCCTTGAATGAATACCAATTGAGCCTGTTATATCATTTTTTTAAGCACTGCTGGATTTCGTTTGCTGGTATTTTGTCCAGGACTTTTGTGTCTCTAGCTAGGAGTGATGGCACATGCCTGTAATCCCAGCACTCAGGAGGCTGAGGCAGGAGGATTTCTGTGAGCTCAAGGCCAATTTGGGCTGCATGGTGAATACCAGGCCGGTCAGGAGTACACAGAGAGATCCTGTCTCAAACACCCACAAAAACAACTAAGACTTTTGTGTCTATATTCATAAGATGAATTAGTCTTACTTTTAGTACTTTACCTTCCTATGGTATCTTTGGAAAAATTTAAGTCTCTTACCTTTGAAATAAACAATTCTAGCAAAAGTATTTTTAATGGACCGAAGAGTCATGGAGCAATACTTCAGAAAGGCAAAACAGCAAATATGCCAGCAATGAAGAAGTAAGTGGGAAGCTGTGTAGGGATGATGTCTGACTGCATGGAGCCATGAGGCAGAAAGGCACAGAGCATTAATACATGCTAGATAGTGCCTACAACCCAGCCATTCAAAAGACATAGCCACAACATCGGTTTTCAATCAAAAGAATGATATTATCAAATAAACTTTAATGGCTGGACAAGGTAACCCATGCCTACAACCCCATTATGTGGGAGGCAGTGGCAGGAGGCCCAGGAATTCAAGATTATCCTTGGCTTTATAGTGAGTTCAAAGCCAGCCCAAGCTCTATGAGACATACCTCAAACAAAGTTTCAAATTTATGCCTCATCTACTTTCAGTTTGATTTGTTTTTACATTTCCATTTTTCTCTAAAGAAATTAATTGCATGCTTATCAATGCTTTATGAGTGAGTGTGATTTTTGCTTATAGAGTGGTACTTAACTCTTCAGCCTTCTCTGGAAGCTTCCAATGGCCTGGCTTCCCTTCTGGCTTCACTTATCTGCAGGAGATCTCAGCCATCCCACACTTTCAGTTGTTTGAATGCACTGGGTTCTCTCTCCCCCAGGAGTTTTCTCCATGGTTCTGTCTCCACTGTGTTTTGCTAATTCCCTTTTACCCCTCAGGATACAGGTTAGATGCTGCATCTCTAAGTAGTTCCATTTCACAACTACAATCTGGGCTAGGCGTGCCTCCATACTAAGCTTTCACAGCAATGAGAGGCCATCAGTACAGCACCCTCACCCTTACCTGTCTCTAAGTTATGCCAGAGCAGGAACCATGTTGATCCCTGTGCCTGGTACAGTGATAGGTACACAGGAGCTCAAAATATCTAAGAAGTAGGTAAACAAATTAAGGCAAGTTCAGCACAGTCTGGTCCCTTACCTTCCCAACCTCATTTTCTGCTGTTGCTACTGACACCTAAACATACCCTGTTATCCTGCAATGGCCACATCAAATTAGGGGTCATGTTCCAGAGAATTACACTCTCTCAGACCTTCTCTGTAGTGACTGTTACCCTGGTAGGGAACCCCCTAACCTACTTGAACACTTAGTTGAACTGTTATGAAACAATTCTTAATCTTGGTCATTATTATGTTCTTATAAAGCATTCTTTGACCACTCAACTCCTCTCTAAACCTAGGCAAGTTAGGTTCCTCTACTTTTGTACATCTTGATTTGTATTAAAATGGCTCAACACTGATCCTACCAAATCCCAGTGCTGAGTACGATGCTTAGATACAGAAAACACTTAATTCACTGTGGTGGTTTGAATGAAAATGTCCCCCATAGGCTCCAAGTGTTTGGACATTTTGTCCCCAGAT